ATTTATCTCTATTTTTGGCATGGTGACTATTACAAATTTAATTCAGATAATTTTTTCAGCTAACTGACAAAATGAGCTCATAATCTTCTATCTTCTATACATGGCTGATGTGTGACAAAAGATGTTTCTACAACTCTTTTTACTCCTGGGTTCTCTGTCTGTTTTTCTGTATTAATGTGTGTCCTTTGTGTGGCCCGCCCTCCTGCTACTGTGCCTGGCACACATTCTCATAATCACCTCCTCCACCCTTGCAGTACACATTCCCAGTGTTTTTTTGTTTGTTTGTTTTTTCATTAGGGAGAAAAAAGACCTTACTGTAGGGGAAATGGTGTTACCTCTGCCAGGCGTGAATGTTTATGAACATTCTCTCCTTTATGGACAGCTGGGGCAAGCTGCTGAAGAACTCCTCGACTGCTGGTTAGTGCACGAGTCAAACGAGCAAATTTACCCCACCCTGTCAAGGAGATAATACAACAGCATCAAGACACTGAAAACTTATCTTAACATTAAACATGATGAATGACTAAAACACTGCTGGATTTTGAAGCAACTAATGGTTAACCCAGTTAGCCATAGTAGGCTAGTTTTGTTGGTTTGGTTCTTTCCTTTTTTAAACAATTTTAAATATTCCAACCATTTAATGTTGAAGACGGATAGCTTTCCATGACAGCAAACCGTATGACCCAAAGTATAGTAACATCACCTGAGGTGAGACTTTCCCTAGGAAGGTACAAGGTATATGAATGGTCAGAATGGTTCATTTGTTATTGAAGGGCAAGATTAGAGAGGCTGAAGACAATTACAAGAGAAAGCTGGTTTGGAAACTCCAGCAGAACAGCAGGAGAAAGGTGTGGAGTAGCAGGAAGACAATCACTGGATTTGGGCCATTCAACAGCAGAGGAAGCGGGGGGCGGTGAGGACAGAGCTAATGAGCTGTATGTGTTTTTCAACAGATTCATCACTGCAATGAATGATCACCACCCTTCTGACTTGCCTCTAGTCAGCGTGTAATACACAGCTACACCACTCTTTCTCGCTCTCTTACCACATGGCACCATGCCTCTTGTAATAGTTCTGACACCCCTCCCCCACCTATCATTTTCACTCATGCCCGGGTTCAGAGACAAATGAGAAGACTCCACTCAAGCAAATCTGCTGGACCATATGGGGTGAGTCCCTGTGTCTTCCAGACCAGCAGTCAGACTCCACAAAGTTGTGGAGTCCTTCATAAACTGTTCATGATGAGTCTGAGTATGCAGAGGGTCCCACTGCTGTGGAAGACATCATGCCTCATTCCTGTGCCAAAGACGCACAGGGAATGAGACACACTGGGGTCCCAGTGGCCCCTAGGATTTCAGACCTGTGGCACTAACTTCCCATGTCATGAAGACACTGGAAAGACTTATCCTTGACCAGCTCTGACCTATTGTCAGGCCACATCAGGATCCCCTTCAGTTTGCTTACCAGCTACAAGTACCTGGGAATCCCACAGGCAAATGGGAACCATGAAGAGGCTGCTAGAAAAGCTGAACCCAACAAGTACCTGCAGAGGGTCAGGGAAGTCCTGAGGTGTCAACTGAATGGGAGAACCGCATTCGTCTATCAACAACTACGACCTGCTTGTGATCAGATACCCTTCTGCAATAATAAGCTGGTCAAAGGAGGTAGAAGACACTGACATCAAGACAAGGAAGCTCCTGACCATGCATAGAGAGTTTCACCCCACGTCCAGCACCCTGAGACTGTACACTAAGTGGAAGAAAGGAGGCCGGGGACTGGTGAGTGTCAGTACCACAGTTCAGGATGAACAACAAACATTCATGAGTACATCAGAAAAATGGCCACAACCAACTGCATGCTCAGTGAACACCTCAGGCAGCAGAAACCCAAGAAAGAGGAAGAACCATCATGGAAGGACAGGTGCCTTCAGGGTATGTACCACCAGCAGATAGAGGAAGTGGCTGACATCCATAAATCAAAGCTGGACTGACAGACAGCACATTGGCACTAATCATGGCAGCACAAGAACAAGCTCTGAGCACAAGATCCATAGAGGCTGAGGTCTATCACACCAGGCAAGACCCCAGGTGCAGGCTGTTTAAAGATACC